GGGTCAGGTAGCCAGTGGAAAGGAGAAGGAAAGGGAGGAAGAGGTTTGAGGAAGGACAGCCGAGACACAGGTGTGTAGGTGAGTAGCTGTGGGAAGTCAGACGTGAACAGTGAGGAGAAAATCATGAGAGTGAGACAACTCGGGGTCACACCTGTAACCCCACCACATGGGAGGTGAGGGAAAGGGTCAGAAGTTTAAGATTGGATTCAACTATATAACCCGCTTAAGGCTAGCTTGGGCTACATGAGAGTCTGTCTCAAAAAGAGAGAAAGAGAAGGAAGGAAGGAAGGAAGGAAGGAAGGAAGGAAGGAAGGAAGGAAGGAAGGAAGGAAGGAAGGAAGGAAGGAAGGAAGAAGGAAAGAAAGAAAGTTAGTTTCAACCCCATAGAGGCCATCCAAAAAAAGAATAAAGCAGGGTGTGGCGGCACACGCCTTTAATCCCAGCACTCAGGAGGCAGAGGCAGGAGATCTCTGTGAGTTCCAGGCCAGCCTGGTCTGAATTGTGACTTCCCCTACAGCCAGGGCCATGTGAAGAGATCCTGCCTCAAAATAAGCAAACAGACATAAAATGAATGCCAGGGCAGGGAGCCTGTACATCCTTAGTGTCACAGAGTATCAACGGCACAATCCACGAAGAAGCCAAGGGTCACATGCCCTTTGGGAAGGAGCGAGGACCTCGCAGAGCCAAACTCCAGGATCTTACTTTGTTTATCATTTGTTTGGATTCTTGTTTGGAGTTCCTGAGACAGAGCCTCCCTGGGTACCCCAGGCTGGCCTGTAATGCTCGGTCTGGCTCCCGAGCCTCCCACACGCTGGGAACACAGGCTGTGCCTCCACAGCAGGCTCCTCTTGTCTGATCTTTCTGTTTTCACTTTTTTAATATGCTGACCAGAAAATTCAAAACCGTTCGCCCACCTGCCCAGTCCTTCTGATGTCGTTCTGCACCTGTGTTCTAGCCAGCACATACACTCACGCGCACACATTCTCCAAGCTGAAAGTGCACATGATAAAACAGTCCATCTCACATGATAAAACACTCCATCTCTGGCCAATGATACAAGTCAACAGAAACATGTAGCTAGCCTGGGCTACATGAAAGTCTGGTGATGTGGGTTGTGTTCCCAGGACCAAGGCTGAAATGAGAGAACCAATTCCAACAAGCTGTCCTCTGACCATCACATATAAGCCAGGACATTAGCCATTACACCCCTATAAAATAAGGAAACAAATGCCTAGAAATTAAATAACGTATTTCTGTACCTTCAAAAAAGCTCTTTATCATGTAAGCCACACATATTTGTTTTTACAAAGCTTGGGTATGCTGGATTCCATCGAATTCCATTCATAAAAAGACAAAATTGTAGAAATAAAGGATGGTTGGGCACAGTGGCACAAGCCTACAGTCACAACCCTTGGAGGATGGTGGAAGGAAGATCTGGAGTTCAAGGCCAGACTAGTCTACTTAAGACCTTGTCTCAAAAAAAGAAAGAAAAAAAGAAAAGAAACGAAGGGTGGGTGGTTACTGATTGTCTGGAGTCGGGGCCTATAGCTCAGTGGTAGTTTGCTTGACTGTTATCTGTGAGCCCCGAGTTCAATCCCCAGTGGCATAAAAAAAAAAAAAGAATTCTCTGCTTCTCTAGTCATACAGCCCCCAGCATCTGCCCAGCGACTGCAGGTGAGCAGCCTGAGCGGGGCGGGCCTCAGAAAGAGAGTCAAGTAATCTCTCAATGTGACGCTCTTCTTCAAAGGAATTCCTGCCTCTAATCTCAGCATTCAGGAGGATCCTGAGCTCCAGGCTAGTTGGGGCAACTTGGAGAGAGTCGCATAAAATGAAACATGCACAGAGAAGGGAGGAAGAAGGAGCAGGAGGAGAGGGGCTGAGAAAAGGAAGGGCTGGACCAGTCCTGGTGCCTCCACTACACTGCCTGACTCTTCTGGGTGGAGGTGTCCACAGTGGACCGCGTGAAGGTCCTGCTGTCCCTGCCCACCGCGTCTTCTGAGAGCGCGTTCCGGATGATGCTCGGGAGCGACCTGCGGAGCCGCCCGTGGAAACCGTGGCCGGCCATGACGTAGATGATAGGATTGACACAGCAGTTGATGTAGGCCAGGGACACACACAGTGAGTCCAGCTTCTTTACCTTTTTGAAAGTGGGCGAGGCTACAGGCAGCCAGGCCATCATCACCCCCGTGACCTGATAGGGCAGCCAGAAGACGAAGAAACAGGTCACCACGGCCGCCACCACCTTGACGGTCTTGGTGGAGCGCGTGGCCTTGCGACTCCAGGTCTTGAGCAGCAGGAAGGTGTAACAAATGCTGAGAGTGAGCAGAGGCCACACGAAACCCAAGACCAGCCGAAGAACAGCCACAGCCCTCTCCTTCTGGAGGCCTCCCTTCCCGTAGTTAACGCCACACATCATTTTTGACTCCAGGTCCTCATGCACCTGACGGAACATGAAGGACGGGATGGTGAGGAGCAGGGCCAGGACCCAGGCCACCCCGCAGGCCATCCACGCCAGGCCAGTCCCTCGGACCTTCTGACACCAGATGGGGTTGAACACCAGCAGGAAACGGTCGGCACTGATGGCGGCCAGCAGCAGGATGCTGGCATACATGTTGAGCAGGATGAGTGAGGGCAGGACCGTGCAGGCCAGGGAGCTGAAGTGCCAGTAGTTATGGTTAATAATGGTCGTGAACAGGATGGGCAGCGCCAAGCACGAGAGGAGGTCAGCCATTGCCAGATTTAGAAACCAGATGGCATTGATGGTGCGTCTGGCCTCGCATGCTGTCACCCACACCACCAGCGCGTTCCCGGGAACTCCCACCAGGAACACGGCCGAGTAGATGATCAGGGCCACAATGTCCCCAAAAGGCATCTGGGGGATGTGAGGGCCGTCCACAGGATCATCGAAGTTTAGGGTTGTATTTTCATAATCATATGTGGGGTAGTCGATGAGGTCCTAAGCAGAGTCAAAAAGGTAGATAGCATGAGACACATTCCCAGGGGATGGGGCAGGGGCATTCTGAGGATTTTTTATTTCGTACTTTGAGACTCGGTCTCTGCAAGTTACCCAAACTGGTCTTGAAGTCATTCTGCAGCCCAGGATGAATTGAAATCATGCTGGTCCTTCCACAAACTCTCAGAGCACCGGCAAGGCCCACTATACCTAGACCCCAATCCAATTTTTAGAATTTCTTTATTTTTATTTCATGTGCACTGGTGTTTTACCTGCGCGTGTCTGTACAAGGGTGTTGGATCCCCTAGAACGGGAGTGACAGACAGCTGTGAGCTGCCACATGGGTGCTGGGAATTGAACCCGGCTTCTTTGGAAGAGCTGAGCCATCTCTCCAGGCCCCAATCTCATATCTGGGGTTGGGGGTGGCACGGGATGCTGTTGAGACAGTCTCACTCTGTTGACCAGGCTGGCTCCACACACTCACAGAGCCCACCCGCTTCTGCCTCCTGAGGGCTGGGACTCAAGGTGTGCGCTGTCATGCCTGGACAATGAGATGGTTTGATTTCGGGGGGGGGGGTGTTTTGTTTTGTTTTTGTCCATAAATGTGCATGCTGCAGCACACAGCTGGAGGTCAGAGGATTACTTTGTGGACTCTGTTCTCTCCCTCAACCTTTACGTGGTTCTAGGGTAGAACTCAGGCCACCAGGCTTTTGGGGTGAAGCATAGTACCTGCTAAACCGTCTTGCTATTCATGTGGGGTTTTTGTTTTGTTTTGTGTTGTTTTGTTTTGAGACAGGGTTTCTCTGTGTATCCCTGGCTGTCCTAAAACTCACTCTGTAAACCAGGCTGGCCTCAAACTCAGAGATCTGCCTGCCTCTGCCTCCTGAGAGCTGGGATTAAAGGTGTGTGCCACCACTGCCCAGTTGATGCGATTTTTTTTTAATTTTGTGTGTGTGTGTGTGTGTGTGTGTGTGTGTGTGTGTGCGCGCGTGCGCGCGCGCTCACGCTTGCGCTCGGGCGCATGTGCAGAGGCCCTGGGAAGCCAAAAGAGAACACTGAACCATTGGAGTTACAAGTGGTTATGAGATATTCTATGTAGATGCTAGGAGCTACACTCCTGTTCTCTGGCAAGTACTCTTGACTGCCGAGCCATCTCTCCAGCTCCCAATGAAACATTTTAAAGAATCAAAATGTATATGAGAACTGTCATGAGTTCAAGGTCAGCTTGAGCTATGTGGCCAGACACTATTCCTGCTTGCAAATAATAATAGTAATAATAATAATAGTAATAATTTTGTTGTTACTTCTTTGTTGTTTAGCTCTTTGATAGGGTCCACTGTATCCCAGGCTAGTCCCAAAGCTCATTATGCAGCTGAAGATGACAAACTGCTAACCCTCCCGCCTCCACCTCCTATGTGCTGGGATTATAGGTGTGTGCCCTGAATTTGGACCAAAACCTAAAGTTGAAATAAAGACAGGGAAATGTCGTGTATTTTAAAATGCCTCATTCTTGGAAGTGAAGCTTCATTCTGCGGTGGGCATGCCCAGGCTGACAGTGTAACCATGATGTTTAAGCACAGTGGGCAGTGTGGGCCTCTGAGAACAGTCGTGGGCGGGCGCCTTGAGGCTTTCCTTCAAAATAGCAGCTCTTAAACTTCCGAGTGCCGAGACCCCTTCATACAGCTCCTCATGTTGTGGTGAATCCCAACCATAACATTATTTTTGTTGCTACTCCATAACTGTAATCTTACTACTGTTATGAATCATACTGTAAATATCTGTTGTTCAATGGTCTAAGGCGACCCCTGTGAAAGGGTCGTTTGAACCCCCAAAGGGGTCATGACCACAGGTTGCAAACCTCTGCTTTGAAAGCTCTTTATTAAGCCTGGCATGTGGCTAGTGGCTAAAACCCTGGTATTCATAGCTGGAGACAGGGTTGGAGGCAGTCCGAGAAAGCCTGTTACAGGAAATCCAATCTCAGAGAAAAAACAGCTGGGCAGGAGTGGGCATGGAGTGCTGGTAGAGTGCTTGCCTGGAACTCATGAAACCCCAGAGGGGCTCCAAACCCTGCAAAATGTGAAACTAGAAATGGTGTCTCCCACCCCGGAATTTGGGAGATGGAGGCAAAAGAGTCACCCTCAGCTGCATACATAATAAATAAATAATTTTTAAATGGAATGTGGATACATACACGGATTTATATAGATATATGCCTAGGTAAACAGATATATAGATAGACTACATCTGGGGACTCTTGGGTGGGGGGATACAGGAATTTACTGTCGCACACGTCTGTAATCCCAGCCCTGAGGAGCCTGAGGCAGGAAGATGAGGCGCTCCAGACCAGTCTGGGCTATGCATTAAGTTGAAAACCAGCCTGAGCTACACAGTGAGACCCTGTCTGAGTAATAACAAATAACAACAACAACAAAAGAAGAGAAATAACACTTCTTGTACTATTCTCATACTTTTCTATAATTTAAAAATATTTCAAGCCAGATGGTGGCGGCACACACCTTTTGTCCCAGCACTTGGGAGGCAGAGGCAGGTGGATCTCTGAGTTCGAGGCCAGCCTGGTCTACAGAGAGTTCCAAGACAGTTAGGGTTACACGGAGAAACCCTTTCTTGAAAAACAAAAACCATAATTTTCAAAGGAGAGAGGAAAATGCTCGGAGCATGGCTCGGAGCCCCAGCCACTCTTCCTACTCTAGCTCGCACTCAGCTTTGTATCTTTCTATTTGCCACTCCGGCACCCCCAAGGTCCCATGCTCAGGCCACTAGAGGGCTAATTCTGGGCCCAAGAGGAACCCTCACACTCTGCCATCCCGGTCCCCAGACAGGGAGGGCAAGCATCTGCTGGCCCCTCCTGCTCTCATCATCCTTACTGCAGTGACTTGTCCTCCAAAGCAGGGGCCTCTGTACCCCTGATCTCGCCACCTTGTCAGCTGGCCAGCTCCCTTCCTCACCCTCTCCTCTCTCTGACTTCATGAGGCAGAGAAAAAGATGCTGAGCCAAGCTCTGTGGTTGCCAGGAGGTTCCAGATACAAACATCTCAGGAAGCTTCGGCCTTTACAGAGTCCCCACAAAGGGGGAATACTGCTGAGCATGACTCATATCTGTGATCCCAGCACTTGGGAAGCTGAGGCAAGAGGAGCCTGAGTTTGACACCAGACTGGACTACCAAAATTCTCCCTCAAAACATAAAACAAACAAAGTTCAGAACTAGCTGACAAAAGGGATTGAGTAAGTTAGTAATAGCCTCTAGGCAACAAAGTATTACGCAAGTGTTAAAAGAATGAGGAAGATATTAATGGTTCAGAAAGGTCACCAATATCTAGAGAAAAAAAAAACTTTTTTAAAATTTATTTGTTATGTATACAGCGTTCTGCCTGCACGTGTGCCTACACACCAGAAGAGGGCACCAGATCCCATTGTAGACAATTGTGAGCCACCATGTGGTTGCTGGGAACTGAACTCAGGACCTTTGGAAGAACAGCCAAGTGCTCTTAACCTCTGAGCCATCTCTCCAGCCCCAGGAAATTTTTTTTTTTTTTTTTTACAATTTATTTCTTTTTATTTAGTGGTTCTGCCTGCATGTATGTCTGTGTTAGGGCGTTAGATGCCCCGGATCTGGAATTACAGAGTTGTGAGCCACCATGTGGTGCTAGAATTGAACCCGGGTCCTCTGGTAGAGCAGCCCATGTGCTCTTAACCACTGAGCCATCCCTCCAGCCCCTAGGGAAAATGTTTTAGAACCGCTTCTTTTGTGATGTATGAACTTGTATGGGTGTGTTAGTGTTCATTCATTTGCATATACACCGGCCCTTCGCACACAGCAATGCTTGCCTAGGAGGGACTGGGGGTAAGAGAGCTTTCTCCTGTTTATGTGGTTCTTGGGCATGGAAGTACGAGGCCACGGCCTTCTCCTGAAACGGTATCACACAAGATGCCCTTCGTAAGCACTGTCTCCATGTCTGTGCGCTCAACTGAGCATAAGCTCAAAAAAATATTTTTAAGAAGGAGAAGAAAACTGGAAAAAAGAAACAGAAGGGGGTGGAGAGATGGTTCAGTACTGAGGAGTGCTGGCTGCCTTTGCAGAGGATCTGAGTCCCTTTCCCATGAGAGTCTCAGAGTTGCCCTCACCTCCAGCTCCGGGGAATCCGACCTCTCCCTTTGCCCCGTGCGGGCATCCTCACAGGTGCGGCACACGGACTACGCAAGTGCACACACAGTGAGAAACAAATCTTATGAACAAATAAAGGATATGGAAATAGCTGCTTAAGGAATATGACAAAACAGTCTGCACATACATATCACAGAGGTCAGAGGTCAGGCAGGAGGACAGAGGTGTCAAAGGCATCCTTGGCTACAGAGTGTAGCCAAGTTCTAGGTTCAGCCTGGGCTACATGAGAACCTGTTTCCAAATAACAATAATTAGCCTGGTCCTGAGTTTACATACTTTTTTTGTTTGGTTGGGGGGGGTTGTTTGTTTGTTTGTTTTTATATTTGTTTGTTTTGTTTTGTTTTGTTTGAGACAGGGTTTGAGACTGGCCTTGAACTCCTGATCCTCCTGCCTCTATCTCCTGAGTGCTAGGATTATAGATATGTGCCACTGTGAGCAGCTTTCAACTGTTCTTTTTAAGTATTATCTCATTTTTAAGTATTATCTCAAAAATACTTAACATTTTTAAGTATGGCAGCCTTCAGAGGGCTGCTCCTGTGGCTATGCCCATTCTACAGATGGAAAAAGTGAGGCTCTGGATAAGTTAGAAAGCCTCTCTATTAGCAAGAGCAGAGATGGGAGAGGAATCCCCAGAGCCGTCTCTTTCAAAGGCCGTATGCTACCTAAAGAATGGGGGTTCAATGTGGTGTGGCTCACGTCTTTAATTCAAGCGTCTGGGAGGCAGAGGCAATAGAATCTCCTACACAGGGTTCCAGGACAGCCAAGGCTATGTACAGAGACCCTTTTTGAAAGAGATAGACAAAGACAAAGAGAGAAAACAGTGGCGTAAATCTTCATTGAGAGGGAATGAAACTTCTTCCCACTGGGAAGTTTGAAAGTTAAAAAGGCTGTGGCACCCTTGCAGTACATGAGTATTTTATATCCCCATATTGATAGTTTACTATGCAGTAAATCTAATGCACTTAACAAGAGGACTCTCATGCAGTAAGCACTCAGTAAGTGCCTACTCGCAATATTAAAAATTACTCATTCAAACGAGGTAAGAAAAAGTATGTGTAGGAGCTAGCCATGGGGGCACACGCCTGTAATCCCAGCACTCTGGAGGCTGAGGAAGGAGAGTGTGATTAAGACCAATTTGGGTTACATAGTAACATTCTGTTTTAAAAGATCAAGGACTGAAATGTAGCTCACTAGAGAGCCCCTGCCTAGAATCTCCAAGTAAGGGGCTGGGGTTGTGGCTCAGTGGTAGAGCCCCTGCCTAGAATACCCCAGTGAGGGGCTGGGGGGTGTGGCTCAGTGGTAGAGCTCTTGCCTAGATCCCCCAGTGAGGGGCTGGGGCATAGCTCTATGGTAAAGCCCCTGCCTAGAATCCCCCAGTAAGGGGCTTGGGTGTGGCTCAGTGATAAAGTACCTGCCTAGAACCCCCCCCCACACACACACACACACTGTGAGAGGCTAGGGGAGGGTAAGGAGCACAGCTTGACCATAGAGCATTAGCTGAAGAATCTAGAGCCATACCCCAGGCCGAAACAGGGACTCTACAGTTCAGATCCACAGAGTGACTTAGTCCTTAGGAACACGGCATAAGAAGGTGAAAGAGCAGCGGGTCTTGACCCGCCCTGTTCTGGAAACCCCAGTTGCTCAGGGCTGACCCAGAGGAGGAGACCAAGGGATGAAGAAAGCTCATACCCTCCTTAGTCCTCGAGTTTTCTGTTTCCTCTTTTGTGAGGATGAAGCAAGACCGTGTCCTCTGTTGCAGTGGTGTGAGATCATGGGGCTGCTAGCACCGTGACACAGCCTCAGGTCCCAGACACAAGAAAACAGCCATCTGAGAGGACATGGCCTCAGACCATCAGCTGCCCAACCGACCAACTCTGCTAACTACAAAGGGGCCCAGACCCAGTGCTCCTGCCTGGCTTCAGGTTCCCATCTAACCTTTCTGGAAATGACCATTTTCCAGACTGGCTGTCAAGATTCCCAACACTGACCTCCTTAGACTTCTTTACTTGTTTTTTGGTTGTTTTTAGACAGGGTTTCCCTGTGTAGCCCTGGTTGCCCTGGAACTCTCTCTGTAGACCAAGCTGGCCTCAAACCCACAGAAATCCTCCTGCCTCTGCCTCCCGAGTGCTGCAATTTTAAAGTCATCCTTCCTTCCTTTATTCATTCTGTTTTGTTTTTTTTTTTCGTCTCTTTATTTTTCCTTTTGGAGACAGGGTCTCAACTAAGTTGCCCAGGCTTACCTCAAACTCTCACGCCTCCTGCTTCAGCCTCCTCAGAGCTGGGAGAGCAGGCTGAGCCACCACCATCGGTAGTTTGTAAAATTGGCTTTTGTTGTTGCTCTTCTAAGATGGGGCCTCATGAAGCCCAGGCTAACCTTAAAGTTACTATGTGAGATTGAACTTCCAACTTTCCTGCGTCTGCCTCCCTCCCAAGGGCAAGGATTCCATGTACCCCCACATCCAGTTTTACGGGGTGCCAATAGTAGGACCAGGGCTTCAGCACTGCCACCAAGCACGCTCACACCTGGGCTGGATCTCCGACCCATTTGTCTTTTAACACAAATGTCTTTTAACACAAACAGTATTTCCCAATATAGTAACTCAGGCTAGCCTGAAACTTACATATAGCCCAGGTTGGCCTTGGATGGCAGCACCCTGCCTCAGGCCCTTGAGGGCTCAGATTGCAGGCGTAAAGGAACATGCCCAACTTGCAGAACTCTTCCTTTTGGAGAGCTGATTCCAGGCCTTCCTGCCCTCAAGAATCTTTTTGTTTTGTTTTCAAGACAAGGTTTCTCTGTGTAGCCCTGGCTGTCCTGGACTCCCTTTGTAGACCAGGCTGGCCTTGAACTCAGAGGTCTGTCTGCCTCTGCCTTCCTGAGTGCTGGGATTGCAGGCCTGCACCACTGTGCCCAGCCTGAAGAACCTTCCTGAGTCTACAGCCCTGTGACTTCTCTTAGTGCTTGCTCACATCACATCCTCTGAATGTGAGCTGTGGGTGCTGGTGGAAAAGGGCAGAAGAGGGAATGGTGAAGAAGGAAAGGGGCAAATAAGTCAGACAGGGAGAGGGAGGGGGCAGAGGACGCACTCACCATGTCCTGGCTCCTCCTGGCTACTGAAGTTCCCTCCTGTCGCCTGGGCTGTGCTTCTGAAAGCCTCAAGAAGAGATGCAGGCTGCTGAGAGGAAATGACTGTCCTGTCTCTCAGAGGTGCTCATTGGCCACACACTGGCCATCCTAGCTGGGGCTCCCTCCACCCGGGGCTCACCCCGCATCAACAACACAGAGGGGAGTCAGCTTGGAAAGTGGAGGAAGTCTGTGGCCCCAGAAGGAAGGAGGGCGATTTCCAGGGCCTCTTCTCTGGGCTGCAGCTGTGTTCCTGGCTTCGGTTCCCCCATCTGAGGAGGACTCTTCTTCATCTGAAGGAAGTTTGGGGTTTCTGAGATGTCCAGAGGACAGGAATGGTGACCGCGCAGCCCAGCTCCCCAGCCAGGCAGCCTTTTTTTTTTAAATTTATTTAATTTTATTTTATGTGCATTAGTATGAAGGTGTCAGATCCATTGAAATTGGCATTACAGACAGTTGTGAGCTGCCATGTGGGTGCTGGGAATTGAACCCAGGTCCTTTGGAAGAGCAGACAGTGTTCTTAAACCACTGAGCCATCTCTTTAGCCCCAGGCAGCCTTTATAGCCAGAAAGCACACACAGGCTGCAGAGATGGCCCAGGTCTTGGAGGTCATCTCCCATGGGGGGTGGGATAACACACCAAAACCAAAGTGTTCTGGAATTGTGGCTCGGTTGGTTGAAGGCTCGCCTAGTGCACACAAAGCCATTCCCAGCATAGAATGGGAAGTTCAAGTTCCCCTCCTCACTGCACCCTGAGTTCCAATCCAGACCAGGCTTCTCGAGACCCTTTGTAGCGGGGCTCCTCAGCCTTTGTAACGCTGCGGCCATTTAGTACAGCTCCTCATGTTGTGGTGACCCTGACCAGAACATTATTTCTTTGCTACTTCAGGACCATAATTCTGCTACCGTTACGAATCATGATGTAAGTCTCTGACACGCAGCGTTTCTGATACGGCCCCAGGGTCATGACGCACAGGTTGAGAGCCAGTGCTTTATAGGAAGGAGAGAAGAAAGGGGCTTAGGTCAGGCATGGTGGCACACTCCTGGGTGCTTTCCGGCTATAAAGGCTGCCTGGCTGGGGAGCCAGGCTTCGGTCACCATTCCTGTCCTCTGGACATCTCAGAAACCCCAAACTTCCTTCAGATGAAGAAGAGTCCTCCTCAGATGGAGGAACCGAAGCTGGGAACACAGCTGCAGCCCAGAGGAGAAGAGGCCCTGGAAATCACCCTCCTTCCTTCCGGGGCCACAGACTTCCTCCACTTTCCAAGCTGACTCCCCTCTGTGTAGTTGGTGCGGGGTGGTGCTGAGTGCTCTGAGCGAGCCCCGGGTGGAGGGAGCCCCCGCTAGGATGGCCAGTGTGTGGCCAATGAGCACCTTGCTTACTTACACGGAAGCAGTAGGATCAAAAATTCCAGGCACCAGACTGCATAGCAAAGACTAAGTCTCAAAAAACAAAACAAACAAACAAACAAAACCCCTTAGGGTCAGGTGTGTGGTGCACAGTTAATCCTAACACTCTGTAAATTCGAGGCCAGTAAGGGCCACAGAGTGAAAGCCTGCCTGAAAAAGAAATAAATGAAATGAAAAAGCAAAAGAGAAGAAATGTCTTACTCCGTCTTAACAGCATAACTAATCGTTTGTTGCTTTCTTTTCCGTGTATCTGAAATCGTCCCCCTTATCCTCCCACATCCTGCCCGAGTATCTGATCCATCAGCTGGGTGAGGCCCCTTGGCCCTGAGACTTCCTGAGTGTGCAAGGAGATGGATTCCGAGAGGGACACACTCCCTGGATTTCAAAGACAGCCCCCCCCCCGCCCCGCCCAGGAGGAAGGGGTTCTAGGCATTGCCTCGCCTAAGAGGTCAGCGCCTGAGAGGTGGCCACAGGAGGCGCCATGGCGAGCCCATCCTTAGCTGCAGAGCCGAGGCTAGCCCAGAAGGCACGAGACGCTCTCAGAAAGTCAGGAACAGCCAGCTGCGGCGCTACGCTGACTCCCAGCACTCAGAAAGCGCAGGCAAGCCAAGCTCCATGAGTTTGAGGCCAGTCAGTCTACACGTTGAGTTTGAGGTCAGCCAAGGCCACACAGAGAACTGTCTCAAAACAAGAAAAGTAAAAAAAAAAAAAAAAGAAAGAAAGAAATAAAAATAGTAAACATGGGAAGTTTATTGATTTGGTTCTTGGTTTTTCGAGACAGGGCTTCCCTGGGTAGCCTTGGCTGTCCTGGACCTCTTTGTAACCCAGGGTGGCCTCGAACTCACAGAGCTCCCCCTGCCTCTGCCTCCCTGAGGGCTGGGATCACAGGGGTGTGCCACCACTCCTGGCTTCTGATTTGCTTTTTAAACTTCGTGTGCGCGTGTGCGCGTGTGCGCGTGTGTGCGTGCGTGCGTGCGTGCGTGCGTGCGTGCGTGTGTGTGTGTAGAAGTGAACTCAGGTCAGCAAGCACTTGACCCACAGTGCACCTCGCTGGCTCTTTTTTCCTGGGTAGGGATGAAAACTGGCTCGTGACCCAGCATTGTGGGAGGTGATTGTCTCTCGTGCACGGCCCCCAGTGTCCTAGAAAGCCTGAACCCCGGGGAAGTTCACAAGCGGAGCAGGTGGCGGTGACGCTGTTCCCCAAAGGAAGCTGAAAGGCGGCCATAGGGTGCCAATCTGCCACTTCTCTGCGGCGGCTGGGGTGCTGAGTGAGACCCCAGGCTGCGGCTCCATTCAGCTTCTGCAGGATGAGGTGGGCAAGTCACTGCAGACCCTGGTCTGGTGGGCTTGCAAGAGGTTGTCGTATCTGCGCTGCCTGAGAAGCAGGAGGCAAAAACAAAGGAGCCCCCTACACACACACACACACACACACACACACACACACACACACACACACGAGGAGGAAGGAGAGGAGGTCTGTGGGCAGTGCCAGGGTGAAGAACTGACTGTTGAAGGCGGTCTGTCCTTTGACTACGGCTCCTACACCGCGGGCACACACAGTAAATACATAAAATCTAATTTTAAAGGTTAACCAACTAGGCCTGGCAGCGGTGGTGCACACCTTTAATCCCAACACTCTGGAGGCAGAGGCAGGTGGATCTTTGTGAGTTCGAGGCCAGCCTGGTCTACAGAGCCAGTCTAGGACAGCCAGGGCTACACAGAGAAACCCTAAACAAAAGTGGGTTGTTAGCTCTCTGTGTTGACTGTAACAGTCGTGGCTTTCGTGTTGGAAAGCATACAGTCTCACTCTTCCAGGATCTATATGTCTGGAAGTCACGGTGACCCAGAAAAGCGCTGTAGAGTGTTCCAGAAGGATCTTTCTGGACCTCGCCCAGCTTCTGGTGGCCCCTGGCTGCCTCCCTCCAGTCTCTGTTCCTTCCTCACAAAGCCCTCTCTTCTGTGTGTCCTCCCGACTCTTCTGTGGACAAAGCCCCCTTTTCCAAATAAGTTTATGTCCAAAGTTCCTAGGGTGGATTTTTTTTTTTTTTTTTTCTTTTTTTTTTTTTTTTTTTTGGCGGGGGGTGGCATCAACACTGTTCAAGCCACTCCATTGACCAAACTGTTCTCCAAAGTGGAGGGGTCATTTCAAGGCCTGCTCTTGTGATTGTCACCAGAGGATCCTATGGCTCCGAAGTACCTAACCCGAGAAGGGTGAATAGATCCTGGGTCACCGCAGCTATCCTAAGGATGGGTCCACAGCCTTGGCATTGGTCCTTCCTGATTGGGAAAGGAATGCAAGTGAAGGAACCTGGGGTGTGGTTCCACCGGTAGGTAGTGTTTGCTTCCAATGAAAGAGTTCCACGACACAGCACTGCAGAAACCAGATGTGTGACAGATGCCTGAACGCCAGCACTGGAGAAGTGCCGGCACTATCAGGATCTCAAGGCCGTCCTCCAAATACATCAAGTCCAAGGCCAACCTGGGCCACATGGTACCCTGTCTCAAAACACTGAAGCGGTGCCCAGCAGCGCTGCTTTCAGAAGATGCCCGGGCAAGCTAAGAATCCAGCCGTCGCTCCGAAACCTGATCAAAGGGTTGTCCCGGGTCTCCATGTGCAGCTGCTGCCCTCTGGTGGCCCTGTACAATCACACACCTCTTCAAAGCTCACCCAAGCTCGTGGCTTGGGGGTTTTGTTTGGGAGTGGGGTCTTTTGTTTTTGTTGTGTGTTTCTAGAGACACGGTTTCTCTTTCTGGAATTCGCCCCGTAGACAAGGCTGGCCTACTCATGCTGGCAGATTAAAGGTGTGTGCCAACACCTGCAGCTGGGGCTCTGTGCGTGCGTGCGTGCGTGTGTGCGTGCGTGCACGAATTTGAGTGTGCGAGCGTGCGCGAGCGTGCGCGAGCTGAGAACACAACTCAGACTCATACCTTGGGCATGCTACGAAAGCACTCTGTTTCCTACAACCACACCCCGATGGTTGGTTTGAAATCCACTGAAAATCTGCAACGAAGGCAGAGAGGTTGTCTTTGGAAGGAAAATATATATTTATATTGGTTTTTCGAGACAGGTTTCTCTGTGTATCCTTGGCTGTCCTGGGCTCGCTTTGTAGACCAGGCTGGCCTCAAACTCACAGAGATCCGCCTGCCTGAGTGTTAGGGTCACAGGCGTGTGCCACAGTGACCAGCTAATTTATATTTTCTAATTTGTGCTTTCAGCCTCAAAAAACCCTACATATCTGGGGATGACTTTGAACCTTCCATCCTTCTGCTTCCCCCTGGGTCACAGAAGACTGCTGCAGTATGTTTATGAGGAGCCAGGGATGGAGTCCTGTACTTCCTGCATGCTAAACAACTGATCCACATCACAGGTGATTGTCCCTCACCCTAGCCAGAGCTGTTGCACATGCCCCGAGAAGAGGAGGTGGAGGAGGGGGGTGTATGGAGCCAAATGATAAAAGATCTACATGCAAGACCTTGTATGTCAAAAACATACAAGATCTAGAGAAGGGTGGCGGTTTTCCCTAGATTCCCCCAAAGCAGTCTCTTGAGATAATAGTTTTGGGGGTGGCAGTTTATTTGGAAGGTATCTAAAACTCCCCAGTGAGGGATC